TCCCCCGTTTTCTCTCTCTCTCTCTCTCTCTCTCTCTCTCTCTCTCTCTTGCGTCGAATTGTGACACACGCGCGAGGTGAACTTTGTTGCAAATGCGCAGCCTTATTTAAATTTATGTAGCGCGCGCAGTGTTGCACGCAGCTGTGCAGCGTTTCCCTTTTCCTAAAGCGTAATAAAATATCTTTTATGGTTCATAGCAGTTTCTTAGAGAACGTATCTGCTTAAATATATTGATTTCAAGTAAAATTTGAAAATTTAAAAAATTTTCTTTATATACAATTATTTTAGATATATATATGTGCGTAAATATATACGTTTTAATTATAACTCTTCAATAGTTTTACGTCTTGCTATACTTACTAAAGTTATCTTTGTGTTTCATGCTTTCACGTCAAGTCGAATATATATATTCGTTAAACACCGCTTAAACTTTCCGCAGCGAATGTATACCGACAATTTCTCAGATGGACATCATCGCGATCTCATCGTGTACACATTGTAAGTGTGTGTATTCATAAATTTCGAGATCGTCACTTATACAAACGCGCCTTTGCGTGTTTGATCGAACGACGTATCGAACATATCATTAACTGAATTATGAAACTGTCATCGCCATTATGTGAAAGTGCGTTTTCTGCTCGAGCTCGACCGAAAAGTGAGAGAGAAAAAGAGAGAGAGAGAGAGAGAGAGAGAAACGGGAAAAGAGCGTGTTTTACCCTGTAAGGAAACACTCGAGACGTCGCGAAGCGACGATACGCAGCTATTTATAGATAGGTCGGAGATGTGTGAGCACACGTGTCCTTGCGTATCAAGGCCCTGAATTATTTTTTTTAGGACTGCTCTTTGCACTCTTTCCGACGCCTTCCTCGAGTCCGTATGGCGATAGCTATACGTACATATAATTAAACACAATTCCCGAATCGCGGAGAATTTTGCTGTTAATATTTTCTTTCGCGATTTTGCAACACGTTTATTTTCGCAATCTCTTCATTTTGAGGTCACATACATCGCATACAGAGTGATTACACAGAGAGAAAATTGTGACGTGTTAAAGAGGAAATGTTTTGCAACATTACTGTGTACAAATGCCGATAGAATTTGTTTTGTAAATATTACCACTTATTCTCTTGCTCTCTTGTCGCGTCTGTTTCTCAAATCTAAAACTTTAAGATCCGAACTAAAGTCCGAAAAAAAAAAACCCCGAAACTATTAAAAGTTGATTAGATGAGCTCAAAAGAATTAGAAGATAAAGTTTTTGATCAATTACTTGAAAATGTGTCTAAATTTCTAAATTTGTAAAATTTATAATTAAAATTTTATAATTAAAAATTGTTAACAAGTTACGAAATGAATTTCGAATTCACCTATTTCACAAGCCGATCGTTTCGCTTGAAAAGTATGTAAGCCTGCCGCGGTCGCTTCGCGAGGAGCTCGCCGGCGAAGTGATCGTGTTCCGGCCAGCACGATAACGAGCTGCACGGTACACCGTGTACGTTCTGAGGTGCCAAGCGGTCTACCGGTGCAAGACTCGCGCAAAAACTAGTCCAGCTTACTAGTCCCGGACACGCCCCAGCGGCTTCTCCCGCCGCTGGCTTTCTTCCTTTTGCCAACGCCGGCGATTTCCCATTCCGAACGAGGGGCCCGATTTTTCGTTTGCCACGAAAGGAAGCCAATCCCCCCGGCGATGGGAAGAAAACGAGCTCGATGATCGTCGAGTTAGCGCGACCTGCGTGTTTTCTGAGCATGGTCGGCCCAAGAGTGACCTTGGGCTGGACCAGCGTCGACCTTGGCACATCGTATACTTATATAGACGTATTTTCTTTGTGGCGGAGAATTAGAGATCAATTTATGCGCAAACTTGACACACACACACACACACACACATATACACACAATTCGGGAAAGTTTAGAATTAGGTATATATTTCATCAAGTAGTACAAGTTTATTCTTCAATCAGACACAAATAATCAATTAATTACAGTCATCGATAATTTTTGTGCGTATAATACATTTATTGTGTGCAAAATATAAATTTTTTTCGTAAAACATTGATCGTGATACAACGAATCGCAAACAGAAATATGAGAATGCTAAAAAAAAAAAAAAAAAACAAACGCAGAGATGGACTTTTCTCTCTTCTCTTTTTCTCGCAAGACTGGCGCGTAAGAAAAATCGAACCCGAACGACCACCGCCGGCGGCTATTCAGCGGTCGATCCGCGCGCGGCGAGTACTTATTAATTATCGCATAAATTGCGAGTGCTCGCGCTCCGACGCAGGGCTCGATCGCGCGGCTCCGGCGAATCGTACAATTTCCACGGCGGCGTGGCGTTTGCGAAATCCGATTAACCGACGATGTTTCGAGTAATTGAACGTGCAGTGGCGAAGGCGAGCGCGAACTTAAATGGTACGGAAGACCATCGTTATTCGATCTAAGTCACGAGCAGAAAATTAGATAGCGGCACGACGCCTCTCGCCCGCCTCGCCTCGCCGCGCGCACAGTAGAACCGGTCAGTTATCGAACAGGCGCGGCGCGAGACGACGACGACGTGGCCGCCGCGCTCTTCTTGCTCGTCTCTCCCCGCCCGCGTTTAAATATACAAAAGAATTACTCGGCATAATGGGAACGAGCGACGGAGGAGGGAAAACCGCGGTAGAGACGGTGCGGAGCACTCTTTTGCGAATGTCCCGAGCGAAAAAAATCGATGCCGACTTATTCGCCAGTGAGACACGCGTACGAACTCCAATCAAAAAATTCTCCAAAATACTTGGAACTTCAAAAACAATTTCACTCTCAGAATTTAGAAGATAAAAAGTTTCCTTTTCTATTTTATCTAGTTAATTTTTACACTTATTTTTTACTAGTAATTCCGTTTTTTTTTCTTTTTAATTTTCACGTCGTTAGATAATAGAAAATTAATATTTTATTTATAGCAGCAATTTTGCGCGATGTGCTCGGCAAATTTCAAGCTGTGTGCAAACAAACGTTGAATCGCCCGTGCACGTTTGAACGATACAAGCTACGTGCATTCGTATGGCATACATCTCGTATGCGAGCAGTTAATACACAAGCGAAAAGAAGCACAGGAGAAGAAGAGGAAGAAACACGAGAGGAGAGGGTCGGGATGGTCGGCAATCTTCATTGAAGATCGGCTGGCAAGCTGGTAAGCGGTCGCACGGCCGTCAACCGTCGGGAGAGGGAAGAAGCAAGAAAAGAACACAGAAGTTGATCGAGATGAAGTATTGACAGTTTCGAAGAAACAGTCGAAAACCCGATATTATTTGCGATAATAATAATATTTTTTGTAAAAAATTAAAACTTTCTTAAGAGAAGAAGAAGCAAAAAAAAAAAAAAACATTTAAATTTAGATTTAAAACGATAAAAGTTTCTATTTCTATTGATTTTACAAAAACAGTGTAATAAAAGAACGATTAATCGCAATAACATTACATTGAGATCGCCTGTGATGACGGCTCGAATAACCTCAGGCCGCTGTGTTTGAAGAAAAAAAAAACGCGGTCAAAAACCCGCGTACACAGGCAATAGAACAGAACGCGGTGACGTACTCTCCGCATATATTTACACGTGTCGTGCTTTTGAAAAGCCTTTTATCTCTCGGTTCATGATTGGCATCTTTCTGGCGTATAGCGCTACCGGATCTAGAGAGGCGTATTAAGCGTCATCATCCCATCGTAGACTTCGGACATCTGCGCTCTGTCCGCACGTGTATATTTATTTTTGCGCGTTCTATCTTTTGCCCTCCCAAGCCACTTTCGTACATTTTTATGATTACACGTGCCGCCACCAAACCAGTTTTCGCGCTACTAGCGCGCGTCCACTTGTTTTCCAAGAAACACACCTTTTACTATGTCACACATTTTAATACAAAAGTGTGTGACGTATATTGTGTGTGTATATATATACACACGCGCGCTCTCGTTTTCCTCGTTCATGTTTTTGCACCACTCTCTTTTTGTCGGCGCTTTGCGCCGCTCCTGCTGAGTCACAATTATTTTCAGCGCTTTCTTATTATCCCGGAGAGGAAGACACTTTTCTGCTCCACTTTGTTCCGAGCGATCGAGCAATAACGCGACAGATTATTTACTTACCGTTTAACGCTGCTAGGTTTTTTTTTTTTTTTTTTTTGTTTGTTTGAACAATAAAAGGAAATTTAATGGAATTACAGTCGTGTTCATCACATCAGCTTCGATTGGTCATTGCCTCAACAATTTGTCATTTTGATTAAATAAATTCGAGATGTGCGAGACCTTCGGCCTTCTTATGAAAGACAAGTAGAAGACGTTCTGTCGAAAACGAAGCTAGGAATTTCTGCTTGCGTTATTGCTGAAATATGCGCCCGTAATAATATCGCGCGATATTTACAAAGGAACGCGATCTAATCTGTGAACCATTAGATACACAAGTCATTCCCGACTTCACGTCGCTCTTCCACTCCTAATCTCGTTCTTTTTTTTTTTTTTTTTTCTTTTTTTGGTTCACCGAGCACGGCGGTGACTCACGATTACGCGGCAAATAACCGTGTGATTTTTTTCTCTCTTCCTCTCTATCCTTTTTTCTCCCCCTCCGTACACCCGACCGGGGCCTTTTTATCGCGCAAACACCGCGATTTCACGGTGCTGCGCTCGCGACAATTAACCCCTTCACCGGTTGAATTGCGCGACCGAATAAGGCAGCTGCGCTCCCCGCGAGAGAGCGACCTGATGTTTGTGTGATCGCTCTATATATCTCCGCCGTGTTGCAAACAGAGCGCTGTTACTTAGACGTAACAAGTGCAACAGCGTGCGACGCGTTACATTCGCGATGTTTTACATCAAGAAAAACTTTTTTTGCGCGATGCAAATTTTTGTACTGAAACAATTTCGCAATTACCGCTGAATTCTTTCGCCTCGCGAAATGTGTTCACGTTTCTTTCTTTTTTTTTTTTTTTTTTGTTATAGACATGGGCAACGAAGAAACTCCGATTTTGTTCTGTGTTGCAGGATAGTCGAGAAGAAAGAGATGGAAATTCCGAGCAGCGCGCTTTTACTTCACTCGTCGATCGTCGAAGATCCGTTGACATCGATGCGAGGAAGCTCCGGCATTTCGATCTCGAAAAATTGGATACTGACGCACGGTACCGCGTTGAGTTCGATCGTCAACAAGTCTCACGCGTTATCGACTTTTCTCACGAATATAACAGCGGGAGAGCTGACGATCGTACCGAAGACGCTCGCGAGCCAACTGAAGTTTCGGGTTTATCGCGATCCGAGCGTCGATAGCAACGGTCGGCCGAAAATTCTCGAACACATCGGCGGCGTAGCGGCCGCATGGACGTGTCCGCTTTTGAAGAAGACCTTCGACGACTTCTTCGAAACGTGGAACTTTTCGAAATCGTCCGATTACGACGACCGATTTCTGCGATCGATGTTCTTGCTCGTTCGTGTCGAGCTCGACGTGTCGATTGTAGAAATACCGGCGATCGAACAAGAGCTGTCTTGTCTGCTGAGCCACGCTCTTCGGAATCCAACGCGCGGATCGTTCGTGGAAATCGAATCGACGCCATTAGGCTATCCCGTGTTCATCGGCTCGATTGCTCGTGGCGTTATTAGCAACGTTGTCGGCGACGACGGCTGCGTCATCATGACGGACGCGCACGCATTTCCTGGTGGCGAGGGTGGTCCCATCTACGTCATTCCGCCGGACTGGTAATTATGGTTGACTCTTGGGACTCTTCTGCAACGTGCGCGCGCGCGCACGTGTGTGTGTGTGTGTGTGTGCCGCTGCAGACACTCTCTTTACTCGAAAGTCTCTTGAACTATTTCATCGTCAAGAGAATAATGGATGCGTATTTGTATTTCCGTTCTATTTTCAGACCCGAGTACGTTTTACATTTATTATTGCACGTAGCATCACGCGTTCCCCGATAATATCTTAGAATCTAAACTTTTCGACGAGAATGAAAGTTCTCACGCGCGAGTTGAGAACAAAAATAAGAGTTGCCGCGATTGTCAATTATTTTTCTGACAAAACCCTGAAATTTTTCTTCACACCGACCGTTACTTTCTTAAGCAAACGCAGAATCATCAGCGCCATGGTGATTGCGCCATTGAGCTGGTGTCGGGAGGAGTGGGTGGATTACACCTTTGGCGCCAATCTGGCACCGTGTTTGATCAGCATTTTAGAAAAAAACGCTTCTCGTCTTCGCCCCTCGATTACAGATCGTGAAAACGCAAACGGTTCGTTAATGGTGGCTATTTTTACTTTTTTTACATATATGTATATACATATATTTTTTTTTCGCGTAGTAAAAACACGCGGTAAAATGTTTTAATTATTATTGTTTTTAGAAGCGCTAGACAGAAGCGTCGTGCTCGTTAGAAGTGGGATCAGTTGGGGCACGGGCGTTCTCATAGACAAAGATACTGGCACATTTCTGACTTGCTCACATGTTGTTTCGGAGGTAAAAACTTCTCTCTTGAAATACGGAGATCGCGTAACGTAAAAGAATTGATTATATATTCGACGCAATGAGCTCAGCGTGTGACAATGCGTGCTGTCGGAATAGCAAATAATGTTTTTTACATACGTCATAAAATTGCACAGTAGATTTTAATTGTTGATAAATCATGATAAACTCCGATAGGCGCCAGAAAGGGAGATATCAATCGTAATGGGAACAAATAACTCCAATTCACGCGTGCGGGCGAAGTTGGTGTACAGAACTTCGGAGAATCAGCCCTATGACGTTGCGGTGTTAAGGGTGAACCCGCGGGATGTAGACCCTTCACTGAGATCCGTGCGATTGACGGATACTCCAATTGTGAAAGGTATGGCATATAATTGTTTATACATTATATAAAATTTGCGCGTATAAAAACACTGTATAAAATTCTAATTTAATTCTGAGCAAACAATTTAATCTGTTACAATTTTCTCTAAAGCGAGTGTGTGTTAACTGCAATAATCGAATAGCTTCGAATTATTGTTGTCAGTCGGGATAAATGCCACATGTGTGGTATTATTGAAACTTGCTCGCGTAATTTTCTCGCAATAAGAAAACAATTAGCGAACACGTCCAGCAGAGCGGTATATCTAGCGGTTTCCCGGCGCTTCGACAACAGCAGAAACATTGATCTTTTTTTTTTATCGGAATAAAAAAAGAATGACAATTGTAATGCGAAAAATAAGGTCAATTGGTTGTCGTTAGTCGATGAAATTGATATTTGGCCTCCTTCTAACTTGGAAATCGACACACAAGTCCGTCCATTTGCTCGATCGCAATAAAAGCTGTTTACCACGCATGCCGTTAAAATAGCTCTGTTATTGATCATGTCGCGAGTGACGCAAAGTTCTCACACATGTCGGCGGTTTTGCTAATTGAAAACGAAATTGTTGTATCGATATATCGGGTTATATCTCGTTAGAAATTTGAACAATTACATTTACTGAAATAATCAGTAAAATAAATGCGAAATTTCTATTTGTTATTATTACATGCATATTACATACATATATGTATATATACAATACTTTACATATTAAATTTCATAATTGCGATATTTTTCATAAGTAAAAAGCACACTCGCCTAAGACATTCTAATATGTGTATTTCTTATGCACCTGCTCGCAGGCGAGCCGGTGATTTCTGTAGGATTTCCGTTCTCGTCGCGCATCCGGCCGACCGTAAGCAGCGGCGTGATTTCCAAGTCGATGGACTGCGCGCTCCTTACGACCTGTTGCTCTCCGAGCGGTACCAGCGGCGGACCGATAATCAGCCGAATCACCGGCGAGATGCTCGGAATGGTTGTGTGCACCGCGCTCTCCATGGATGGCACCGTGGTCTATCCGCGAATTAGCTTGGCGGTACCGGTCACCGCGCTGAGCGAGCCCCTGCGGGAATATTTGCGCACTGACAGTCAGTAAACAAATCTAAATTGATTCTGACGATCTAACGACTATACAATTTGGACGGCGCGAAGACTGTAAGCCTCTTCCGTGGAGACAATAGCTGCCAGTGTTGCGCACACTTCGCGCAAAGTTCGAATCTATTCCTGACGAATGGTCCATTCGATTGCATTGTGCAATAATATAACGGGCTCTTAATTTTGTTTTTGATAAATCAACAATTGTAAATTATTAATTATCGAATCAGGCCAACTAGAATATTTTGTTTAATTTTTTGAATGAATTATAAAATGCAGAAAAGTAAGTAAAGTGAAATAATCGAACTCTCTTTTTTCTTGTATTTTTTTTCTTTCAGATCCTGACGTGCTTCAAGCTCTCACGTGCAACGACGCGATAGTACGTAAGATTTGGAATTTTTATCCATATCTGCCGTCCAAACTGTGAAAAAGTACAAGTCAAGTTGCGTGTAAGGTAAGAGTTTCAAATTCGATAAAAACAATATATCTATATATACGTGTACAAAGGATTATAAAACGGATTACTTATATCCTCTGTTAACTTGTATTATATGTCTGTGTGTGTGTGTGTGTGTGTGTGTGTGTGTTGTGATTATTTTACATTGCGTGTAGGTAATATTTGCGGTTACTTTGCGTTGCGGTACAAGAATCACGCTAGACTTGTCAATCTCGAGCTCGACACACCGCGAACATAATCTCATGTCGAATCTCGTTGAATAACGCACGCCATTGACCGAGTTTAATGCAAAGAGAAAGTTTTTTGTGTGACGTCAAAGTATAGCGCGCGACTCGAGTCAACGATCCCTCGCGCGCACATAAGCGAAGAGATTTACTGATGAATAATATTATTTATTTGCGTGTGTCTCGTATTGACGGCATTAAATCGAGATAGATCAAGTTACCCAAGAGAGAAAATGATGACACGAGTTTTATCGTTTCTTTTCGCATTTTTCTCAGTTGTCACATCGCTTGCGTAATTTCTAATCGATTATTGCTTATCGTTATAAGCGACACATTAATAATTTTGTGCGCAACGCGTGTGTAGTTTAAATCTCGTTTTCGAAGAATATTATATGTACTTGTTTCGCCATCTAACAAGTGTTCGCATAACTATAACTTTCCATTTCTACGCAACATCTCTTTGGTTCGCGCACGCGTTTACTTCCTGTACTTTACATAATATATAACATAATGACAGTATACATAATAATATAAAATTTACAAAAGAAAATCGATTCTTATGTCCGTTCTAAAAGAATCATTTAATTCCATTAAGAGTTAAGTGTTGTGCGTAGATATGGAAAATAAATAAATAAAAACATACATTTTTTTATGCATAAAAAAAATAAAAACTGGATATTCTCAACAGAATCGATGCACGCGCGTGAACGAACAGAATGGAGAAGAGGAGGACGTACAAATGCGGATGATTTGTAACACGCGGCCGATTTCGATAGATCGGCGCATCTCTGCCGATCTGTGTTTTGTTGGATGTTGGGGAATGGGAATTTATATGAGGTGTGTTTGGATCAAGATGTTCAGAAACATGCAAAACACACATTGAATGGTAATTTATTATTATTTTTTTGTTTTGTTTTTAATTAAGAGCTATGTATATAACTCGGTCACAATATTGCCTTATACACTGCACTCGATGCTTACAAAAAGAATCACACACGGTCATACGATCGCAGGTAACGTTCGTGAATAGTGCAGAAGTGAATGAATGAAATATAGTCGAAAGATGGTAAAAAGCAATTGCAATTGACAGAGAGAGACTCGTGTGTTTTTAACACCGTTTTTTTTTTTTTTTCATGCATTCCGTTTCGTTTATATACAAATTTTGAGTTGAGATTAGACACTAGAAAATACGCGTATTACGTGTTTTTATCGCTATTTATAATTTCTCTCATTTCTCTGCGATTTTCCATTTTCTAAATCGCCTAGGAAAACGGAGAAATCTACAACCTGTGGTAAACGCGTCTCAAAAACAAAAATTGTATCAGACGCTTCGATTCTATTATACGTTAATTTTGCATCTTTCCTTATCTGCGCGCGCAAGACCGATCGAAATTCAAATTGAAAAAAAGAAAAAACACGCGCGCAACGCAGAAGCTCTAGCACATCCTTTACCACTTTATTCTTGCCAGATCCGATACGGAAATACATACGTAAATAATATCGATAAATATATATATATATATATATATATATTAATATATGTATAAATATTACGATCCTCTTTACACTAGAGTACAGATCATGTATATACATCATGGATGGAGTCTTCGTAAATAGTCATTGGAATATCGACGAGGTTTTTTTTGTCTCTTAAGTTTAAAAATTTACGCGATGTTTAACCTTATAAATGACTCCTATTGTCCTTAATCGATCTAATGATTTTCGATGCAAAAGTAGGAAAATAGCGAGTGATCAGCTTGTCGTTTGCGCGTCGCGTTTCGCCGAGGGAAGAGGGAGAAGGGGAGCCTTCGAGCGATACGACGAACGTCCATTTTGATGAAAAGGACGGAGAAATGATAAGCAAGTTTCAAACGTTAGATCTAAGTGTCTCTCGAGTATGTCTTTTGTCAGAAATTCGCGAGCGGCACACTATTAACCTGCGGTTTTTAACAATGAAACAAAAATATATTAACGTTTATCGACAAACGTAAAAATTTGCGATCAAAACTAAGTGTACAAGACATTTCAAAATGCGCACAACTTGTATCATATGTTTGATATATTATCATATTTCACACAAGAAATATATTTTTTTTTGATATGAAATTTTGAGTCGTTTTTTTTTTTTTTTTAATTGAACTTCGTTTAGACAAAGATATGTATTAATGAATAATAGATAGAAGGAGGAACACAGTCGATGAAAGTATGCGAATTCCAGAACGACTTATACACCTTGTTTTTCTACGAAATAAATGCGTAATAATATTGCTGAAAAAGAAAAGAAACTTTATTTACACGTGCAATATAAACCCACGTGATTACCCGGTACAAAAACAAAACAAAAAAAAAACTAAAAACTGAATTGACGCACTGCTCCTATGATCGTCCTTCGAAAATTCGCTCTCTAAGAGAAGCAAACAAAAGAAGAGATTCTCAGTTTCGCGAAATTGTCTTCTATAGTATTTCGCTATCGCAACTTCTTCAGCATCAACTATCACATAGTAACCGAAAGCGTTTTGTTATCCATGTTATTACGGCCCTAAAAATATTATTTAAAGAGCGACTAGAATCCTTCTTTAGAATCACAAATCGTCATCACGCTATCTCACTCTGATTTCGAACTTCTCCGATCTCTTCGAAGAAAATTGTCGAGTTTCTCGTTTAGAGTCGAATCTCGTTTTAAGTCCCCAGCTAATTCGCAATTTGATCGTTGAGTAAACCGTTCGGGTTTCGACCTGCGGTCTTTTAGCGCACGTCGAACTGTTGTTTTGCGTGCGGCTCATTGTTGGTAACCATTCGGCGGATTCGGCGCTTCTTGACTATCTATACTGTAACCGGTAATACTGTCTGGACTTTGAAGAGATGCCGCGTAGAGCGGGTTGATTGGTGTAGCGTTTGTGTCGAACTGGGTCGAGTCATAAACGCTGTGATTCTGTAAAGAAAAAAAAAACCATTCCTCTGTGCATTCACCGAGATATTTAATTACTTTATTGAATGTTTGTGTGTATATATATATGTGAAAAATTGTACAAAAAAATACATTGATATCGATAAAGTTTTGCAATAGTCAAACAGTGAACATTGTTTGAAAGCTCTTTGCACTAAACAAAACAAACATCGAATTAAAGCTCGATGTGCATACAGTGTACAATTGCGCGCGCGACACAGACACTATATTAAAAAAAAAAAACAATATTTATGAATTCCATTATTAAAAAAAAAAAAAAATAAAAAAATAAAAATAAGCAGTTTGATATCGTTGCCACAGGGAGATTGCCTAACGTTAGTGTGATAAAATAAATGAAACCATGTGCATCGACTACATAAAAGAGTTTAATATTGCAAGATAACGTCTAAAAACATGCTGTGATATTTACAGTTAAATAAAGCTCTCAAATGGTACCATCTCACCACATACGTTATAATGCATATACGTTATAGTGCATATTATATAGGGGGATTAATAATTAACGAAATATTAATCAACATAACACCTGAAACATTAAATATAATATTTACAAATGAACCCGACTACATGTATCAACAGACTAAGATTCGGTTTGCTTGTAGGAATCTGAATCTCGAGAGGATTTAGGATCAGAATCGGGAAACAAAACTTGTTGCGCTTCGCTCATTGATGACGTTTCATAACGTTTTTTAGGTTTCCCGCGAGATTTCGTTATCGCTAATAAGTAATCACTCAAACCGCTCGATATTCCTTCCTTCTTCGTCTCCGAATAGCTTTTGTCTTTTCTATAAACGTCGGTTGTACGAGAGGGAATTGATTTGGAAAGCAATTCATGCGTAACGTTTGAGGTATGGGACACATTAGATAACACATCATCCGAACATGTTTTAAACATCTTGGCGTCTAAGTGCGTTGTGAAATGGCTCGGTTTTGCGCAAGCGTTCTCTTCGATCGAGGTATCGACGTCGCTTGTTCTCAAATCTTGAGGATCTTTTGTTTTGATCTCATAATTTCCACTTTCCAATATGACTTGCAAACTGCTCTCTAACGGAACTTGAAATATTTCCGGAGAACTGCTACTGTAACCTTGGAAAATATTCTCAGTTGTCTGATCTATCGTACTTTCTAGACTACTTTTTCTTGTTTGAGCGTATAAATTAACGTTACTGTCTATCGCTACCGGCTTGTACAGAAATTTATATTTAGCGACATCACTGTGGAAAAACAAATTCGAAACGCTGCTGGAACCGTCGTACGCAACAACTTGTCGATTCGAATTTGATCGTAAATCCGGCGCGCTTGTTTGAGCGGATCTTAAGGGATGATTAGCCAACTTTGAGGTGTCTTTTTTCGTGATAAGACTTGTATCAAAGCTTCTAATACCGGATTCTAAGCGATGTGATGCGCTGAGAGCGATGTGTTTAGGATCTTTGGTGGTTGTTAAGGAGTAAAGAGAAGATCCCTTTCTACGAACAAGCGATTTCGGTGCTTGGGGATTATGCAGCGGCATGTGAATAGAAGGTGTATGGACCTGATAGATGTAATCGCTGTCGGTTTTCAAGGACGAGAAACTCTGTTGATGCGGTAACGATACCGTGTCCTCGTCCATCGCGTCGTCCACTTGCGCCTTATAAGAGAACATTATCGAAGGTTGTGAAACTCTAAAACAGAATCGTTTTCAAAATACATTAGCCATATACGTTTATCGTTTCAAACTGATTGGACATCGATAGCTTACCCAAAAAACTCGGACAGGAATGTATGATAAACCAAAGGAGTAAAAAGAGTTAGATACACTGCTGCAGTGAAGTCTACAATGCACAATCCTACCGGATTCTGTGTGTAGTTTAGAAATCCTGCGCCAATTGACTGTACCAGATCCAGTGTCGCTAGCGTTCCGGCGTAAACATAAAAGCTTTTCCGTGCTGTAAATCGTACATATGAGAGTTATGATTGACAACAAGGTTACAGTGCGCGATAAAAACACTCACTGGGAAGAGCTAGGCGGTCCCGTAACCTTGTCCATGGCAGTATTAATATAAAGAGATATATCTGAAAGAAATATGAACGTGTGGTCAGTGATGAAATTATCAATCTTTTGGCAAAAAGTAATAACGCGCGTACCGTACCGTGGTAAAAACGAGGCTGCTGCAGAACCAAAACATCATGCCGCCGTGGCCAAACACGTAGAAATCACGGCTCGGAATATGAAATGTGTCATCCGGCAAAACTAATTCTAGTGTTCCTTGTGTAATCGTGTATGCCAACGCTATAAGCGACGTAGCAAGTAGTACTCTACGAATACTAGAGCGACTGTCCAAATGACCTAAGGAAAAACAAAAGAAAATTAGCAAATGCAGATTTGCTATCTGCGTTTTGGTTTCTTTTCCCCCTCTGACTTACACGATACTCACCAAACGCCAGACCAAATATAACCACACTCATCTCTGTAGATAGTAGAAAAAATCTCACTGTAACCCATAGTATCTTGTCAGCTTTGCCACCCACTGTTGCAGCTGCGTTTACAGTCATTGATACTATGCATCGTATTAACGATATAACTACATTACAAATTACAAGACCATAGAAAGCTAAAAATATTGGACTACTTGTTGCGCGCAACTTAAGCCTTGCCCGATTGAATCTCATTGCGATAAAAAGAAGAAATAAAAGATTTGGTACTAGGATAATGACGTCCCATATTCGTACTCTGAAAAGAATACAAGAATACAAAAATTGTGTCTCTTGCTTAGTGCATTTGATATTAGATATAATCCTAATGTTGTACCTTGAATCCTCGATTTCTTTGTATAGAATGAGTTTGCAGAAATGCTCATCATCATCCATCGCTCTGCTCACATTTGGAATCATTGTACTGCTCAAGTCATATGTGTGCATCCAACTTTCAGATACTTCTTCCTTTTCAGCACCGTACATCTCCTGTCTTCTTGAATGTCACACCTGATCTTCTCTCTTATAGCTTCACTGAGCAGAAACAAATCAGGGAGAAAATAATCATAAAACTGTGTTAAAAAAAAGATCGTAATATAATTATCACAAAACAAACAAAAAAAAAAAAAACAAGAGATAGTACATAAACAAAGAAATCGAACGAAGAAAAATAGCTTTGTTAATAATTACATACGCGCAACAACTGTATTAGCGCTTGTGTGATAATTGGCAAATATAATATAATTTTAATCTTCGAATGACACATCAGAGAGATCGAACTGTCAAACAATGAATCACATAATAAACAACATAACCTAAACAGTTTTTGCGATTATTAACAGTGTTTGACGCATCATCAATTCACCAACACAGAAACGACGTGAAACGCGAGCGCGGGGGGATCAAGGTGAGAAATCACAGAATACAAAAACTCTGCCAACGAGATGCGAATTTTAACAGCTGACGATATTAAAAAAAATCAATAAACAGTGCGTCGATCTTACAGTTGTCAAACTTTTTGACAGAAACGTTCGACCTCGAGCACGAGTAACAGATTTAGATAATTAGATAAACAGTCGTTAATAAGCTTACTGAGCGCGAGGACGACGCTTTCATTTTTCCTTGCGGAACGGCGCGCTTTTTCCAACTAACTGATGCAAACACGCTCGATGCGTGACGAGAACTCGCACGTAGAAATTCTCTCGTCCACTTTTTTTTTTCCACAAACTCGCTCCGATATATAATCTCTTCTATCACGCTCTCCTATTCGCGATCGGCTATCTCGTCCTTTCTCTCGTTTTCTCTCTGTCCCTCTTTCGAAATCGTGCCCTTCCCTCGTTCACTCGCGTGAGCATTAATTAAAGCGTTTCGCTACGACGTTCCAGTGTCCATTCTACCGATCAGACTCGAGAGCGGACGCTAGGGCATATGCAAGTGTCATGTATACGCCGTTATGTGTATATACACTGACTGGCATTGAAACGAGTCGCGATAAAGGAAAGAGCTTCCCTTTCTATGCGCTTATTCAGTGTTGTTCTCTTGCCATCGCTGTCAGTCGTAATTATATTGAAAAAGTCGCTGTTTTCCTTTTCCTCTCATAGAACGCGATCTATTGCTGGCTGGTTCAAAGGCGTTTGTAAGATGTGTCCCCCATGTCACTACTTAGAACGCGATAAGTGTCGTTCTAAGAATAAAAAAGTTTTCGGTCTCTTGTAAACGCGTGTTTAAAACCGGATATTCACTTGCGAACGAACAGCAAACGCAAAAACATTTTGATTGGTCACTTTTGTCAGAGAGAAGCCTGAGAGCGGCCAGGTCCGTACGAGGAGAATGTGTAATCCATCTTTTTCGCTCCTCAAACTAGAGCGTGTCCACATGAGCGGCGCACATTGGAACTACACAGCCACGTCCACAAGCGACATGTCGCGATGGGTGCCCACAGCTCGCGGTTCTATTCTGTGCTACGTGCATGCCCTTACGAAAAAGAACTACTGCCGATTACATATATAAATAAAGTCAGTAATATAAATATTACCGAGACAATCGCACAAAAGAATATTATTAGATATTTTACGGAAATCACTGAGAATATTAATAATTACTGGCAATTACGCAGAATGCCAGTAATTGTTTCGTACCACTGCCGCAATATATTACTGCCGGTAGTTCTTTTTCGCGAGGAAAGTGATTGTTCCACACTCTGACGATGAAAACTGAAAGCTAAAAAGCGTTCCAACTACAAGTCACTGTGTTAAGAGCCGTCTACAATGGAGAGTTGTAGGCCGTAACAGTAAGAAACTGACAAATCACAATCGATTATTCTTCTGTACTTTGTCTGTGATTGGTCAATTTCTTACTATTACGGCCTACAACTCTCCATTGTAGACGGCTCTTTAGAAAGCACCCAATTACTTAAGAGGGTACTGGAGCCTGGCTTGTAAACTGGATAGAGACCTGTAAACCGACGTTTTTATAACCTAAATTTCTTTATTTTTTAAGTTTATTTACTGCACAACATTAAAAGCGCTTCTACAGAAGCAAATAAATATACAAAACTATATAAAGCTTTTGAAAATGGGTATTTAATGCCTTTTTGAACTTGGTTTTCATTCATAATGATAGTATATGGTATCAAATACACATCATCACAATATTACTTTTTGTGCATCAATTAGACAACCAAATCATATTCTGAGTGTTTCAGTAGATTGTTTTGTGTCGTACGTATTGCTGTAGTTCAGTGTAAATACGTACATAAGCTTAGAAATAATTTTATATACATGAATATATAGTGAGGTTATAGAAGAAAACTGTATAAGAAAAAATTTATGCTGAATTTTGACATTCCAAAGAACAACAGCAAACTCTTAGCATAATTTACTTATTTCTGTAGAAGCATTTTGGATTTGATGCAGTAAATACGGCACAAAACGAAATAGTAAAACGTCGATTTACAGGTCTCTATAGTCGGTATCCAGTACCCTCTTAAGACCGTAAAACGTGGCCGTAAGGAAATTGATCAATCAGAAATTTCCGTCCGAAAGTGATGGCGACATAGTATACATTCTGATTGGTCAATCTTAAGTAATTTTATGTGTGATGGCCTTAAGGCCATCGCACATGAATCTCCGTGATCATAAGCACAAGACACGGGGAGCGCGCTATCAGCGCTATCAGCGTCATTCTATCTTTGTTTTACATCTAATGAGCAAAAATAAAGATAGAACGATGCAGTGGTGTTGCATCAGCCGTACCGGTTAGATGTGCGTAGTTACGCTTAGATATTTTTGGACAATCTTCGGTGTTTTTACACCGATTTCTTCAGTTTATCAGTATTTTTAACGAACGTACAACTCCGTGGCTTGTACCCAAACCACGGTTTAGGACCTGTGTCACGATTCCTAAAGACTTAGAATGGCGTATGGACTAGCTTGAAACGGTCCTTTGAGCCATATATGCACCAACCAGATAGAATGATGCAACAGCGCTGATAGCGCCCTCCCCGAACGCAGTCTATACATTCTACAGGATCTGACGATCCAATCGGATTATTTGCTAGACGTCAATTCGTCAATTTGCGCGATTGTTTATTGTGTTGCTAAATTAGGGTTAGGCTAACATTTCGTAAGATTAAACGAGATATTTAAAAAAAGAAAATGCAAGTTTTATTTTATAAATCTTGTAATTAGTATGATAAAAAGTTTTTTTATATACTTTTAACAATAAGTATATTTAATAATCTTATTTTTTATAAATATTTTATGCAAAATAAAGTACATATCTATCTAGGCTGTATTGTATACAAATAGAAAGATGAGCGAATTCAAATGTTCTTACAGGTCTTATAAATTGTTAACAAATGTTCATAAAGATATACCTGTGCCAGACAATGGTCAAACATTTTTGATAAAAGGAAATTATGAATATTGGCATCATTGCTGTGATACTTTCAATGACAGAGTAAGAAATCAAAGTAAATTTGATACTTGACATTCTACATGTAGTAATACAAACAGCTATAATATAGTTTTATATTTACAGGGTTGGGGATGTGGATATAGAACATTGCAAACTATTTGTTCCTGGTTTATACATAATAAGCATATGGTTAATGACGACAAGATAGTTCCAACTGTCAATAAAATCCAAAGAATTATTGATGAAGTGGGAGACAAAACCAGTACATTTGTTGAAACAAGAAATTGGATAGGAACTTTTGAAGTAAGCTCGATTCACTTATTTATTGTTAGAGTTTTACACAAACAATGGATATTTTCATGAAAAGTGTATTTCAGGCATTTCTTGTTCTGAATCATCTGTATAACGCCTCTTGCAAAATAATTCATATTTGGAAGGGTATAGAAGCGTTAAAAGCACAAACAGATACAATTAAAAACCATTTCACAGAGTTTGGCAGTCCCATTATGATGGGTGGAGATAAAGATATCTCTAGCAAATGTATAGTAGGAATACATTTTGGAGATGTATGTACATACTTGTTAATAGTTGATCCGCATTTTGTTGGAAAAGCAGAAACTGTAGAAGATTTGAAGAAAAGAAATTGGGTGAAGTGGCAAAATTTGGATGATTTCGACGATAGTTCGTTTTATAATCTGTGTTTGCCACAAGTAAAATGTGATATAACGAAATAATTTTATATTATTTATATAAATTTTAATAAAATACACAATAAGATTTTTCACATTCACAGTGTAAGATGTTTCGCAATTCTTATAACAAATCATTGACATTTAAAATACTAAAGTCTAATACTTCTAATACTCTAATCTAATATACTTTGATTCTTGATACGACATTAAGTAATTACGAGACATTCCTAATTCATGAAATACACACTGAAGAATACGGCAGGTCAAAGTAATTAGCAATTTCGAGAATTGCTTCAATCTGTGTTTAACACTAGACAAACACCTTGAAGTATCCAATGTGAAATATGTTCTGGCGTTGCCAAATCTGCTTCGAACACCAGACCAATGCCCAAGGCGTTACGCCGATTCGACGTAGTATATACTGGAGTTTTAAATGTATTCTGTGATACAAAAACATATTTTACATATATCCCGGAGTTGTCACAAGAATTAAGTCTTTTTTGATTATACAATTGTTGTGTTTGTGCTATAAATTACTCATTATGTTATCATGTTCAATTGTATAAGAATAACGTAACAATTGTACGAGAATATATTTTTCCATATAAAAAATTTTCAATACCTGTAACTTCAGTCTGTGAACTTCAGTCGGTATGATAGTTAATATTGGCAGCTCTTCTACAAGAACTTTCGGATGCGATCTCCTCAAACATTGTTCTTCGACGTCCCATCTGGCACCTTCCAAGTACAATCCGTGTACGTAACAGCCCTATTTCAAATAAGAACAATGGTGTAACGTAATAAAATAGAATAGAAAATAATTTATGTCGCCGGAATTTACTTGGTCGGGTCTTTCTTCTACGTCATCAGGTTTGAGGAACTTCGACACCGTCGTGTAAATCACGGAACGATCGAGGGGCCAGTTGTTTTTGTGGCAAGTTATTTGCACCAGAGCTGCCAAGTAAGTCTCCGGCACGTGCAATCCAGCCAACCAAAGCACTACGGGTTCATTCGCGCCAGACTGTGTGTGAAACAAAAATGAAAAAAAGAAAAGAAAAAATTACAGTACATGCTGGTGATGAATCAATATTTTTGCTTAATCCGTACCCAGTTAGTGTACTGATCTATCCTCTTTTGAAAATGATCCATCCAACTAGCGAGATTCTTTTGCGTGTCTGGCGCCAATCTCGCCCATTCCCTGGGTAGAGTGCCGTTATAAAGTGCCACGGAGATATTATCCAGCACCGCGTCCATTCCAATTTCACCAGCAATGGCCTGAAGATAAGATACGTTTTACCAGACTTAGGAAAATAAATTTTATTTTACATATATTGCGCGCATATCTATTTGATAAGAAAGAATTAAGGAGAGAAATAGATTTAAAACATTACAGCGCAACAAGAAAGACACCTTGTCGCAAAATTAAAAAAAAAAAAAGCTAAAACGTTTGTGACAATAAAATAGGATTTATAAATTTGTATTAACGAGAAGAGTATTTTATATATTTCGATGATCTTATCAACCTTTCTCAGCTGATTCAATGTTCTCGTCATTGTTTCTGTTAATTTGTTGAATCTCTCCAATTCTTGAAACAGAACAATCGCAGTCGGCGTTACGGACACGCCGAAATTTTTCTTGACTTTGTCAATATTATACGGCGTTGGTATCCTGGCTAAGATCTCCTTTGCTACATTATCGATGTATTCATCCTTGCTGACGCCAGTCACGCTTATCGCTAGATATTTAAAAACGATGTTAAATTGTTCTTACTCAATCGAGCTAATTAGTCAATTACTTTTTTTATTTTTATTATTCATTATTATTATTTTATATTTTATTTATTATTATTATTATTATTATTATTATATATAATCGTGTTATTTGATATTTATAAATTATTTTTGTAATCTATTAAACTTTTTTTACATATAAAATAAATCGAGCTAATTAGTCAATTAGCTCGATTAGGTAATTGACTAATTAGCTTGACTTATTTTATATGTAAGGAAAGTTTAATAGATAGCTAATTGACTAATTAGCTCGATTTATAAATATAAATAATTTATAAATATCAAATAACACGATTAACGCTCGACTAGCTAATTGACTAATTAGCTCGATTTATTTTATGTGTAAGAAAAGTTTAATAGATGAAAAAAATAATTTATAAATATCAAATAACACACGAAATCATGCTATCAAACAATTGTAATAATTGAAAAGTATTAAAATGGTTTTTTTCTGTAATAAAATAAAATAAATAATAAAATAATTAAAAAATCATAAAATAAACATTTGTATATCCGTACAGGTTTGTGGCTGAAGCTCCACAAAGTGCTTCCATATATTCTTAACGGTTTTCGTGAAGTATCCGATCTCAGCATTTGGATGCAAGCCAAACACTTCCGGAGTGTTCACTAACGGTAGTTCCTCGATGAACTTTAAATAGTCGTTGCGACTTCCTTCCGGCGGTATCACATAATCGACAGCGATATCCTTGTAAAAGTGAAACGGTTGAAACTCGTCGAATAAAAACTCGCCGAAGTACTCGTCCATGTAGGTGTAAGAGACGCGACGATCGTAACAATCTATCACTCTTCCGCCGTACATCACCTTAATTCGAACACACACAAAAAAAAAAAAAACAAGCTGCACATTCAAGATTTCGATGTAAAGTATGATAAGAAAATAATAATAAATTAATTCATAATAAAAATTTACAATAAAAAGTTCTAAATATTTCGAAATATTAAAGTTCGTGATATAATGTAAAACTTAAATTAGGAGGTCAATACAAGTCTATGTGCTGGATGTATATGAAAATATATTTTTTAAATGTGTTAATACACGCAAAACTTCGAATTAAAAAATTTTGAATTTAATTCGAAAATTTATTTAAAATGTTTGGGTTAGTAGGAGAATAAATTGAAGGATATTTTATACACATGAGATGCAAACTAAACATTTCGAATTTTCAAATTTTCACGTGTATTAATTTACACGTTATTTAAAAAACATATATTTGCACATATAAACACGCAGTATATAGATTCGTATTGATCTCTACTTTAAGTTGTTTTAAATATTTTTTTTAAAAAAATTCTTTAAAACGCAAAATTCGTACCTCGCCAATTAGATACTTCAAACTGCTCCACGGCATTTTAGACCCCGACGTGGCCATCGCTTTTGTCAGATAAGTATCTAATATCATCGTACACACATTAAAATCGGACTCGTTGAAGTCGTAGTTAATATTCCATCCGATCTTGTCGTACTTTCTCCTTTCCTACGATGTTAGATAAAACGCTTTCAAAATTGCTCCGAGAATTTAAAATACACACGATTTGTATCTTAAATCTGTTCGCCAACCTGAATAACTGCGTGATAAAACGCTAGAACATAAATCAAGTGCTTGTAAAGAGGATGGGAGCAACTTTCCAAGACCTGCGGTCGCATCTTGAGGTACGTGTTTTGCAAGTTTAGCTTCAATCCGCTCGGTGGTTCCGTGACGACTGCAAATAAACTTTATTGAAAAAAAAAAAAAAAAAAAAACGAGCGAGTTCCATTTAAAGAGATCGCAAGAGATTTATATCGCGTTATACCCTTCAGAGATAGTTGAAGTATTCCGATCGGAAAATTAGGGGTGGGTTCCGTGGTGAGCCAAAGACGAAAATCGGGATGGGGTTTCTCTGCGTTCTCCATTATTTTTTCCAAATCTTTCGCAAAGGACAGAAGTAGATGGCAATTTTGCAGCATCAGCCATTGTCCTCTCGCCATTGCTGTTCTCAGCAATTCCATCGCGACCTATCATAAAAAAGAAAATTTTTTACAAAAGTAATAAAAGTTATTTTATATGCGATATTATAAGATAATATTTTTATTTTATTATTGTATCCCGTTTAGCAATTGTTTTGCATCTCACCGTAGCTTGACCTTGTCCGAGCGAGAGACATCTGAATTTTCCGCCTCCCCAGCCGTATCGATCGGCCAACTTCATCAGTTCGGCCGTGGGATCCGAGCCCGGGCTCAGAATGAAAACGACAGGCATAGTCGGTGTACTTTCCTCGAAGATCATGTCGAAGTTCAAATGTGGCGGTGTGATGTATTGCTCGCCCATGATCTCGGTAATATAATCGATAATGCCGCGATAGACGCGGTCCGCTCGAAAACAGCGTATCAGCATCAGCTTGTCGAACGACGTGATCCGAGCGCTATACTCGCACGGAAGTCGCTCCGATTCCGGCATATCCGAGTCGTACCACTATTTATAGAACACGGTTAATTAGTTTTCCGCAAATTTTTCAAAATCGTCATCTTTTTTTTTCGTCTACCTTCTTCCATTCGTTCTCGCGATCACGTAGCTCTTCCGGAAGTTGCTCGAACTTGTCCGGGAAATCGCTCGCCAGTTTGAGAACATCTTCCCAACCTGACGAAGGCAACCACTTGGCGGGATTCGGTTTGACCGACTTTTCCAAAGCCGTGCTGCCTTTGATGAAGAACTCCAATTGTTCCTGCGTCACGTTACCCACGCTCTGCTCTATCTTCATGCAAATTTGTAGAGAGAAGAGCAACTTGTGTCGCTCGAATATTCCGGTGCACCCGTAGTTGTAGACATTCTTCGTCAGCGTCGGGATGATGTTTCTTAGTCGTTTCTCGAGCACCGGGTCCGACAACGATCTCTTCAGCGAGTGAACGAACACTTCGACGTAACTGATCAGGGAATACTGATACATGGGGTTTACGGTTGCCATGTCCGCAAGCACGGAGAACAAAATGGCACCTCGCACCGCCACCGGACGGTAGCCCTCGCGCAATCTGTCTACGTCGAACGACGTGACCTCGGCGAGAAACAGCTTCGACATCACCTCGCTGGTGCTGGCCTTGATGTTCTCCAGCGTTTCGATCAGATCGAGATTGTCCAGCATGTTGCCCCGATCCGTTGCGATCTCACGCAGAAGACTGTTTTCCAGTTTCTGTAATAGATTCTTGTTCTCGCTGGTCTCCGCGATTAGATTTTCACGTTGCTCCTCGACGTCCGGTCGCTCGGTTCTCACGACCACCGACAGAAGCTGGTTCTCCAAACCCTGAGAGAACGTAACTGATTTCAACTGATAGCTCTCTGGATAAGACGCTTCTTTTAGAATTTAATTGCAAAAGTAAATCGTGATATATTACCGCTGCGGTGACCATGTAATTGATAACAATCGCTTTCGCGTAAACGGCAGCGTCCAGATTCGGATTGGACATTTTTGTCGTCAAATAAATACGAAACCTCGAGTCGTATTCCACTTCCTTGTCGCCGAGAATGACGAAAGTTCGTCCCGCGGAAACTGCACGGTTGCAAGGTTTTTATCGGTTTTCACACACAATTTTTTTTTCAAAAAGTGCGAGTACATTTGTTTTTGAGGAATTTTCGGCTTACACTGTATATTTTTCGACAATACGTTGTCCAAGATGGGATCGACCTCGTCTACATCTCGAATGAGCACCGGTAGACCGTATTTGATCGCTAATTCCACTTGTTTCAAGAAATCCGCATCCGCGAAAGAGATGATCTTCAGATTCTTCTTCTGTTCCCGTTTTTTGATCCAATTAAGCGCCTGTTGCTGAGGATCGATGCAAAGCGCGAATCTAGACGCTTTCGTGGTCAATATACCGTTTCGCACGGAAAGCTCGTCCGGTGGGAGACCTTCTGAGTTCCATCTTTGTAAAATAGATACGGGACGGATGAGACAATTGAAACAATTCGCGTTACGGTGTCGCGTGTGAAATTTTTTACTTTCAATAAAAAATCCATATTCGATCAATCAATATTTAATAATAAAAATTATATTCAAAAACAAAGAGATGAGATAAATTCGCTTACGTGCTGATTTCAACGTCATCGCTCAAATGCATTTCGAGCTTGTACGGTTTCGACATGGGTATTTGTTTTTGCAAAATGCTCGTTTCCCAATTGTTGAACATTTCATTTCTGAACTCGTGAGAAAACGGTCCGCTATAAGCGAGAAAAGCCGCTCCGAGCAAGCAATTTCCTGTGATCCTTTTCGTGTCATCCTGCAGAGCCGTTAAATCCTTCTGCCAGCGTTCGTTCTCGGACGACAATCCAGAAATCAGCTTGTCGGCAGCTAAAAGCCGTCGTCCCAACACGTCCGTCTCGTCTTGAAGCTGTTGTCGCTCGGTCATTGCAACGTCATATTTTGCATTCAGCTCCTTAATCGTTTTCTCCAATCGCTTTAATTCTCGTTCTTCGTTTTCCAACGCACGTCGGGCTTTCACGGATTCTTCTTCGAGCGTCTGGACTCTGTCCATCTTCGGTTTTATCTTGCAACGATCATAAGAAAGTAGAAAGATATATTATTTTTAAGAAAAAATTAGAATTTTAACCAGAGGAAAAAATTAAGTGGTTTTTTATTTTATTTTATTTTTTATTTGAAAAATAGAAAAAAGACAAAAGATTAAATTAAATTAAAAATTTTCAAATCGCACGCAAAACTCTGCGAAATACCTCTCTGAAAACTGCGCAATAATCCAAGACAGCGAGCACAAATCTGTACAAGCCGTATCCCGCTTTGCTGATGACCTGCATCTGATCCAATTTGTCGCTCTTCTTCAAATGCGCTCGTACCGCTTGTTGCTGTTTCAACGTGATCTGATCGCAATTCATTTCCTGCAAACTTTTCAGAAATCCCGGATCGCTCATCAGTCCTTTCGCTCCTTTCCAAGATACGTCTCTGACGCCTCGAAGCATTGCCACGCATTCTGATACGATCTGCACCGGCTCGGGCGGAGTGACAAAAGATCTGAATTATTATTGTTATTATTAACAACTCTTGTTATTTTTTTGTAAAAAAAAACACAATATTTAAGTTACACTGTATAAAACTTAAGACATTGTTGTCTTCTTCTAATGTGATTTCTTGTGACCAAAAACCATATAATTTAATTTGAAATGACGAACCTTATCTCGGTGATATCCGCTTTCTCGAGCTCGCCCAGTGCGAGTTTGGCCGCGTCGAGAGCCGGTTTAGCCTCTTCTAATGCTTGTCTGGCCTCCGCTTCCTCCGTAGCAATTATTTTCTTCTTTTCCTCGATCTCCGTTCTTTTCTCTTCTCTCAGATTCTTCTTTTCCATCGCAATGTTCGTGCTGTTGCCGATTGAAGCGAGCAGCTGTTCGCAATTTTTCGTTTGATCGAGCACTTTGATCTTCTGCACGGCCAGTATCTCATTCATCTCCTTCAGATTGACCGAAGCCTGTGCGATTTTTTGCAACCCTGAGAAACGAATTACAAGCGCGAAAATATAAAATTGCTTTTCTTTGAAAAAAAAAAGGAAAAGAATAGATTGTGTGATTTTATATTATTAAATTACACAAAAATGAGGTTCGTTAAAAAATATATATAAGTCTTGTTTTAAGATATTAAGGAAACTTAGGAATTGAAAAAAAAAACATTTGTGTGACGGATACCTCCGGATAGACGGGCGCAGCGCGAATCTATAAAGTCTTTTTTCTCCTTTGACAATTTCAGATAAGTGTTAATGAAGTCCAGAAAGTGCCTCGGCGTGACATAATTTCGTCTTCTCAGTCTTGTCGCGAAATCCACCGTGTACCGCAGCACTAATGTGTGCGCGTAAACCATGTGGTTCACGATCTTTTTCCTGTATTCCTGCGGCACAATCGGGTTCTGAAAAAAAAAATAAAACAATGTCTCTCTTTTCACGCTTAAAATTATTTCTTTCTTCAATTTCCTTACGTCTTGAATGAGAACATTCGCTACTGCCACCAGAGCTTGTTGCGGCCACGGGAACATCCAATCTACGGTGGTGTTGTTAATCAAGCCCGGATAATTGCGACATCGGGTTCGCAGAGCGTCACCCGACGGACTCATCGCCAACGCTATTCGCAAATTCGCGGTGCACTGTTTCGCGAAGTATGACCAAACACTTTTTCTGCCGACGGAAAGAAAATTGATAAAATTAACACGTGAAAAATTTATTAACTGCTCGAAATAGCGCGTTTTGCGCGAATTAAAACACGAACTCACTTTGCCATATCGAAACCCGCTCTAACCGCCTCGTCTCTGCAGGAGGTGATGATCTCGTCTTTCTCCTCGTCCGTGAAGAGAGCCGGCACGAAGCCCGCCGTTAACATGTTGTTCACCAACTCGAGGAAAGCTTCGTTTTTAATGTGACCGCACGTGAACATAAATACGACCTCTTTGTTCTCGACGCCGACCAAGTTGTACAGGCTCTTCATGTCTTCGCGAAATGACGCCTCGTTGTAACCGCGGCTCGGGACGATCTGGAACAGCTGATAACCGGCGGCAAACGACGCCAACTTTATCACGGAGTTCTTGCCACTGCCACCCGTGCCAACAACCAGCACGTTTCCGCGATGCATTCGTAACGCACGATGCACTCTGGTCAGATGCTCGAGCGCGTCGTTGAAGAGAACCATGTGCAACTTGGTCGTGGATCTTTCATTGTATTCTTCGAAGATCTGAGAACACGAGAAAAAGTGAAGATATTCTGATTCTCCGAATAATATCGGATAATATCGCAAATAATAATTGATTGAAAGAGACACAGTCGCGCGAAAAGCGATTAAAAAAAAAAAAAAATTATGAAACCTCGAGAAACAAGCTGTAAACCGCTTCGTAATCTAGCAGATCCTCGTAGAATCTGGGCTCGTCTTCGCTCAAGGCGTTTCTAAAGTCACCGTACAGTAGCGGATCTCTTAAACTGTATTGAGTTATTTCGGGATCTTCCTTCCAGTAGTGTGTGATCTTTTTCTTCAGTAACTCTATCACCAAATTTTCGTCCTGGAGCAATAAAATTGTTCCGGTAAAAAAAAAAAAAGTTATCTCACAGATAACAAGAAGAATGTGAGAAAAAAAATACTTCATACTTGCTCGTTGACGAGACGGTCGGACATGATTCTAGTGACCTCGTTTCTCCAAAGCCTGACGAACTGCTTTACGTCTGAAAAGAAGTCGGGATGGCTCTGAAGTAATCCGGCCGTGATCCTCGAGAGATCGCGCATGTTGAAGATGTAGTGAAACTTGGACGGCGTAGGCAGCAATTCCTTCCTAACTGTCTGAAATAATAGAGCTTACACGTTATATCGCGGATTAAACGAAACGGAAATCTTTTATATGACCGTGTGTGCGCAACGAGTTGTGAAATCACCTCGTAAAGTTCCAAAGTTAATCGAACAAGACCTCCCGCGATATTTCGAACGCCCTCGGAGAACGTTTGCAAATGACCGGACAGAATGCTCGTGTAAATATAGCTGAGAGTCTCGCTCGAAGGGAAAGTTACGTTATAAACCGAGAACATTGAGATAAATCGCGGATCAACTTCGTTCCTGCCGCCGCCGGGTTTTCCCATGGCTGCTAAATAATCTAGATGAGATAAATATTCATTTACGATTACACGTTTATGTTATATAATAACAGCTTCGTGTATTTAATATATCGCAAAAAGAAATCTTGAATAGTAATATTTAATAACAAAAAAGAAAATTTGTCGATAAAAAAATTTATTATTATTTTTTTTTTTTTTTAGAAGAGAAAATCTCTTTAAAAAACTCGCTAGAAATGTGATATACGCTCACAAATGTCTCTCATGTATTTCCAGCTTAAATCGCGACCGCGATCGTAAAAACCGGCTCTTTCGAACAACAACTTAAGCAACGCGATGGGCTGTTGAGTTCCGTAAGTATCGGTTATTGGCATATTCATGTCATCGATGAAAACTATCAATTTTTTTCCGGGCGGAGGTCCAAATATTTCTCTCGTTCTTTTCTCCACCACCGATTCGATGTTTCTCTGCACATCACTCGACGTAGTTCTCGACGAAAAATTCATTAAAAGCTGCTCCTATATATATATTTTTGACATTGAAATAATAGCATTAAAAACAATGCTGTATAATTAATATCTAATCATAATTAACGTTTTTTTGAGATTGTAATTTTGACTCACATATTTGTCCGAACTCAAGTTTCTTAGAAATTCGTGAACAATAGCTGTCTTCGAAGTGCCAACTTCTCCGACTAATAATACCGGTTTTTGCAATTCGCTCATGAGATTCACGAACCACGTGGTGCGCAATGTGTCGACTGTCTGTACGAGAACGTCCGAGAAAATTTTCTGTCTGTCGTGCACATATGCCGGCACCAACCATTTCCACGCGATCCAAACTTGTTTCTTGACATCCAGCACGTAATCGTATAAAGTTGGAAGCGACGTCGGTACGTATTCTGATGTGTCAAACGCGTGCATTTATAAAAACTTTAAATTTTTTTCTCTTCAATTTTATATATATATATATATATTTTTTTTTTGATCAATTTCAAGTTTTGCCAACTTACTCGTGACTGCCAATTTGTTGGGTTTGTCTTGCACCTCCATAAGTCCGCACGTTTTCTTTATGTATCTGTCAAATGTAGATCGCGCCTCGTTCACAATGGACGCGCCAAATGACCAATAGCACGCTTGAATATACATCGCTTCCCACAGTTCGTCTTTCGATTTCTGTGACATATCCTCCTCCTTCTCCTCTTCCGCAAATTTTCTACTTGTCGACTCTAGCATTGACAACAGACCGTCAAACACGTAGCAAAATTGAGTTACCTTGAAGAAAAAAAAACCCCCATACGAAGAACATTCGTAAAGTGCGGAATGGAGAAATGTAGATTAATAAGAAGATTAACAGCTTTCTTCACGCATTTCCCGCTTTTTGCAAGTGCACGGCAAAACAAATTTAATTGACAGATCGAGCAAATCTAAGTACCATGTTGAGACTAGTTTGCGGTATAATCATCCGAAGCGGTTCCATTGCTTGGAGACCGAACGTTCCTTCGATAATAAGTCTAAGCGAGCCATGTACGTATTTCTGACACATTCCGCGAAGAAACTCGTGATCGGCTTTGCTCTTGACTTGTATCCACTTATCCATGTAAGGCTGGTAGCCCAGGTTCTTCGGGTCCACGTAAACCATACCTGCTCTCGAGATTGTCGCAGGTGAGGCGTACTGCAAGTCGCCTATCTTCAACAAAAAAAAAATTTACATGAATATTCGGTGCGTAGAAAAAAATCAAAATTTAATTATAAAATGTTAAATTATAAAGAACTAGATATTTTTAATGTGAAAAAGTTTTACATAATTAAAAATATTAAAATAATTGTAATAAAATTCTTAGATTCTATATATGTTTTTACATTCGCACTAGAGCATAGGCTACCTCGAAGAGCAGACCGCAATGATTCTGCAGTTTGATTCTTTCCTGATTAGCCAGAGTTAGCAACTTGTTGTCATCCATAACCGAGTTCATATTTTCGATCCACAGCGGATCGACGTCGCCGTCGAAGAGCATGTATCTGTACTCCTCCTTGTCGGATTCCAAAGGTCGGTTAATTTCGCGAAAAATGCTGCTCAGAAGACCGTCCGTCCAATCGCGCGTCGTCGGCTCCAACGTTCCGTACAATTCGATGACGGTGTAAGCCTTGATTATTTTGTGTTTTAATATGATATATATATATATATATATATAACATTATATGATAAATAACATATAAATATAAAATTTCATATTGTTTCGCAACGAAGATCCTTAAAGAATCGCTTACTTTGGGATTGAGAATGTGCAGTTTCGTGGATTTACCAAGGTGCGTCTGCGCTTTGCACAGCGTTTCGATGACCGTCGTCTTGCCACCGCCGGTGGGACCGATGACCATCGTAGAGTGCCTGGTCATCATTACCTCGTGTAACTGCACGACTTTATCGACCTGGCACAACAACACTTCTTTACTCATTTAATCCGTTATTTCGAAATTCCGCGGTGCTTAAATAATCGCTCGTGCGACGTATTAAAGCAATACGCAACTTACTTGTTCGGGCAGGACGATATATCCGTTTTGTTCCAATACCGTCTCGATCGCTTCGTTCAATTGCGGATAGCGAATTCGGGGACAATCCAAGTCGGGAAATAGATCTCTGATCAGACCCAGAAAGAGCGGCACGTCGTCGTATATGAACTTAGGTAAATTCATGTCTCTGAGTGCTCTCATCAGCACGACGTTTTCGGGCAAGTCGTTTGAAGTTCTCTTCAACTGACCGGCCATGTTGAGCACGGACTTGAGAGCTCTCAGGCCGAAGTCGTAGTGCGTTTGTTTGCTCAGCTGGTCGTTCGCCAGCTTGTAAAGAACCGTCATTTTCTTAGCGAGTACCTTCGCCGTGAGGAAACCGGCGCTGAAGAGCTTGATCTGACAGATTAACTCGTTGTCGGGCACTACGCAGACCACCGGCCTGAACAGGGCCTTTACCGATTCCGGCAGTTCCGTGCGACCGGCGTATCCCGGATTCATCGTGATAAAGATCCCCACCTTCGAATCCAGCCTGATGTCTTGCTCCTCAAACTTTAGAGAAATATTTTTAATTTTTTGAAAAAAAAAATTCGTTAATTTTTTCCAATTGCGCTGGTAATTTCATTAGCGCAATAGAAAAACAACGGATCTCCATGTTTGATTGTCGAGAACACACAATAGCGCGTCAATGTACCGTGAATCGTTGAGCTTTAACTTGAAGCGCCGAGCGTATGGTTTGCAGCTGGGTCGAGATAACAGAAAGAACGGAAACGTCGATGCGATTGAATTCGTCGAAGCAGCCCCATGCTCCGCATTGAGCGAGACCACCCAGAGTCTTTCCGATCGCGATATAGTCCATTCCTTCGCCGCAATTTGTTACGATGCACAATAGTCCCAAGGCTTTCGCCAGATCTTTGACCGTCTCGGTCTTTCCGGTTCCGGCAGGACCTTGGTGTGGACATTTATCAATAACTCGCGCGATATCAATATCAAAGATGTCACAAAATTGTTAAAAAAGTTTCATATTTTTGAAGTTAATAGAAAGTAAAGTCTATAAAGAGCCATCGCGGGATGTTGTGCGTGAAAATATGACTGTGCATATATATATATA